GTTTCCGCCGGGCCCGCTCACCACCATGTTATTATGGTTTTCTGATTCGGATACTAACGTCTTTTCGGGGGAGCCGTCTTCGTTGTGCTCTGGTGCATTCGTGCCGTCTCGAGTATGCACGCACGCGCAGCCGCGCGCCTCACGTCTCGATATTATTCGACTGATCGAAAAGGATGGGACAGGAAAGTGAGAGCTGGGGGCCCCTGTCAGCCTCGACCCCGTGCCAGAGCTTCCGCAGCGCATTTGGCTCAAGCATCTTGTGGCCAGCGCCCCCGTTCCATCTCAGTCCGGCGTTGCCGCTGACCATGGCGGACAGCAAGCTCGCTCTGTCTCCGCGAGAGTTCTCCGGCGACCCCGCCACGTGCGTCTTCGGGCGCGTCGTCATCGAGCGAGGCCCGGTGGAAGTGGGCAACCAAGCGGATGGGAAGGGCAAGGGCAAGGCCAAGGGCAAACGCGCTGGAAAGGACAGAGAGCCGGGGAGGAAGATCGAAGTGCACATGCTCGGCGGTGACACTGTGGGCGACGTCCTGTTCCTTGACGGATGGGCAGACGCCGCCGCCCAAGTTCATGCCGCCATGGAGCTGGGCAGGGTCTACCGCGTGTCCGGCGGGACCGTCGTGAACCAGACCCCGAAGTGCTCCACTTCTCGGCTGTCGCACTTCTTGCGGGTAAAGCCGCCCTTGGGAGTCAACGCGGTCATCCAGGAGTGCGCCGAAAGCCCGTGGGTGGACGTTCCCCTGCATCACCCGTTCGCGGAGATTGCCAGCTTGGGCAGAGTGACCGATGCAACGCAGGTGTGCGCGGTCGGCGTCGTGTCTCACCAGCCGGGCGTCGTGGAGCGCGACGCCCAGTACGGCCGAGCAGGCGTCTGCAACGCGGTGATCAAGCAGGGGCGCCACGACATCCGCTGCGCATTCTGGCGAGACCATGCCGCGACTCTGGCCGCCTTCCCCGTCGGCTCCGTGATCGCGCTGATGCAAGTGAATGTGAAGCAGCGCAACGGGTCCTGGGAGATCTTCGCCACGGAGGCCACGGAGGTCACGACTTGTCCTGCAGCTCAAGCGGAGACTGTTCGCGCCGCGACTGACATCTCCGAGGGTGCCGACGCGGCCACGTCCCTCACCAAGCAGCACCATGCCGTGGACTACGACACGGTGCCCGCCATGGCGAGCACGGTGAGTGGCCTCATGTCGGTGCCCGTGCCTTTCCAGACGCGCGACCTGCCTGGGGTCTTCGAGCTCCACTGCGTCGCCGTCACGGGCGTGGCAGGTGCTTCCGCCGACAGCGACTGGCAGATCAAGAGCTGCGCAGAGTGCAAGAAGAAGATTCCCGACCACCAGGACACGTGCGGCAGCCACCCCGAAGCGGGAACTGAGATGCGGTGGCTCCTGAAGCTGGGCATCGCGGACCACACCGGCGGAGGCTCCGCCGTCCTGTGCCACGACGCAGCGTCCACCCTCGACGTGCTCGGCGATTCGGGCACGCCCCTGGACGCCCAGGCTCGCCGCGTGCGCGCTGCGGCATTTCGGGCGACGCCGTGGACGCTGCGGTGCGTGTTCAAGACAAACGATGTCACCAATGTCAACTACCTCGAGGTGAAGCGGATTGTCCCGACGCTGACGCCCGACGGCGCCGTGTCGACGTGGTCGGAGGTGACGGCGCCGCCGGCGGTGAAGACGGGCGGCGCCTGCCCGTTCGCGGCGTGCTCGGACGTCAGCTCGGACGACTCGCTCGGCTTGCTGCTCGTCCGTGACCTGGAGGTCCAGGCGGTCCGCGTGTTGCTGGTGATGCAGAGGCCCACGGAAGCGGAGACGGTGGCCACACCCGACGCAGAGAATCGCGGCCTGCGCGTGCAGCGCCTCGCGCGCTGCGGGTTCCAGTCTGAAAAGGAAGACACGTATTGCGTTAAGACGGCCGGTGTCGCCGGCGACGTGCAGTGGCTCCTGACGGCCGGGCACGGCGACGCGCACCTCGTGACTGCCATGCTGCGGACAGATAAGGGCTCCGGCCGCGGGACGTTCGATGCGCTGTCGCACAAGGCCGTGGTCCCCGAGCTCTTGCCCAGCATGGTCAAGCTCATGGCCAGCGCGCAGGGGTCCGGCGGCCCGGCGCTCATCGCGCACGCGCCCGACGCCACGCCGCTCAAGCGCATGCGGGACCTCGCCTTCTCGCCCCCCGACGCTGCGTCAACGCCATCATCCCTGGCGACGCGTCGCCGACTGGAGTGAGAGCTCGCGCGCGAGCCGCAGCCGTGCCTGCGGGGATGTCCCAACGGCGCGCTCTGGCACTGGCGCGAGCCCGCGCTGACTCGGCTGACGCTGCGCCGTCTTGCGAGGGCGCCCGCGACGCAGTGCCCATCGCCGCTTGTCTCGCCTGAGGGGTTGTCCCGACGGTATTGAGTATTGATTTTACACTTTGTCTCTCCCTTCTGTCGCCGCCCCAGCCGCGCCCGCGGGGTTGCCCCAACGGCGCGCGCTGGCACTGGCGCGAGTTCGCGCTGACTCGGCTGACCCTGCGCCGTCTCGCGAGGGCGCCCGTGACACAGCGCCCATCGCCGCTGGTCTCGCCTGAGGGGTTGTCCCGACGGTATTGATTTTGCACTTTGTCTCTCCCTTCTGTCGCCGCCCTCGCGCTTTCTCCCGCAGGCCCGACGGTCTGCCCTGACGGCATCCTGCGCGCGGCGCCCGTCCGGGCGGGGGCAGACGGCGGAGCTACCGACCACTTCAAAAATGACAGGGCCTGCGCGCCAGCATTCTCCCTTCCGCTTTCGCCTCCGTCGTCGATCTCCATCCCGGATTGCCTGCGATGCCCGGGCCGTCGAAAATATCGCGCCCATCCGCTGCCTCTCACTGCCGACAGGGAGCAGCACAGCTGACAGTAGCAGCCAAAATCTGAGACCACCCGTGGCCAGCAGAGAGCACAACAGAGCACCGGAGAGCAGCAGACAAGAACTGAGACCAGCATAGCATCAGCAGCAGAGACTCACATGCAGCAGCAGAGAGCAGCAGAGACCAAGAGAGAGCAGGATGCATTAGCAGAGACCAGCAGAAACCACCACGGAGCGGCAAAAGGCATGAAAGTGCAGTTGAGAGCAGCGGTAAGCAGGATGGAGCGGGAGAGACCAGCTGAGACCACCATGCCCCGAGGTGACCAGCTGAGACCAGCTGACACCGTAGCGATTGAGGCTCAGTCCGCATTGGCTTTGCTTCCTGTTGCCAGCGCTGCGTGCTTCACTCGCCGTTGCAAACCGCATATCCCGACATTTCAACATGCCGCCCAAGAAGACGGAGGCGGCCTTGCTCGCAGACGTCGCAGAGCATCGTCGGTGGGCGACTGCCAATTTGACGTCCCTGAGAGCACGGGGCGGCATCGGCTTGAAGGCGAAGCTTCAGCAGAGGGCGGGGCTCGAGGAACAGCGGATTTACAAGTGGTACGTGAAGCACGCGGGCGTCGCATCTGATCATCCGACAGTTGCCGCTGCCCTGTCGGAGCTGGACGCCCTGGTCAATGACTCCCTCGGCCCGGCAGCGTCGGCGTGCCCCGACGACGCCCCGCCGGCAAAGCAGAGGCGCCTGACCGAGAGGGGTGGCGAGGCTGCTGCCTGCGCGGCGCCGTTGCAGGGCGAGTCACGGCCTGGCCAGTCGACGCTGGCAGCTCGAGGGGTTGTCCCGACGGCTTGCTCGGCTGGACACGGCCCGGCGGCTGCAGCAGCGGCCAAGGCGTCTCCCGCTTCAACGCCGCCCATCGGCATCGAAGAGACCCCGGCGAAGAGGCCTCGCCTGTTCGCCGACGGGCTCGGTGCGACGCCCGCGCAGACCACCGGCGGCCTGGCGCCTGCCACCGCGGAGGCCTTGGCAAGGTCGTGCCGCAAGAGCCCGTGGGAGTCCCCGTTGGTCGACGATTCCGTGAGGCTTGCTCACCCAGGGAATCCCGCGAGAGGTGCCTCGCGGCCCGTCGAGCGGCCGCGCTTGCGCCCGCGGGAAGAGGAGCGCCTCCTGGCGGCAGTGCCGCGGAAAGCTGTGAAAGATCTGTACGTGCACGTCCGCGATGAGGCTCTGCGCCTAGGCAACGGAGAGTACCTCCCACAATGGCGCGAGAACAAGCCAAAGTATCGACAGCTGAACTACGTGTGGAATTTGCACCAGCACGGCGAGCTCCAGGCGGCCGAGTACGCTCTGTTGGCGCACCAGCCTCACATTATTGGCCCAGAGCTCTTCGGCGCAGTGGAGAAGGTGGAGTGCCCCGCCGCAGTGATCCCCTCGAGCAGCAGCGCCTGGCGGTGGACTTTCAAGCCGGCAGGAGTTGACGTGGAAGGACCGCAGGTGGAATCTCGGGCCGACGCGGCGCGAGCCCTGGCCGGGCTGCAGGCGCGGCTGTACCCCGAGTGGCATCACCCAGGCACTCGCGCGCAACACCTCCGCGCCCTGCTGCGCGACGACGACCGGCAGCAGCAGATGCGCGGCCTGCTCGCTCAGCCTGGCATGCGGTTCGCCAGAGCGGCCGTGCTGGGAGCAGCCGCGTCAGCGCCCCGAGACGGCCGCGCGGGCGCCGCTGGCTTCCCCAACCTGACAAACACGTGCTACATCAATGCCGTGGTGCAGTGCTTGTACCACACGCACCCCTTCCGCGCAGACATCGAGGGCATGCAGCCGGGCGCCAGCAACATGGGGGACCGCCTGCGGGACTTGTTCTGTGCGCGCAGCTCCCCTGCTTCCACGGCCGGCGACATTCGCCCGCCGTTGGTGGCCCTTGTCCGCCAGATCTTGCAGCAGCCGCCAGGCTTTGAGTCCGGTCGCCAACAGGACGCGGCGGAGTGCCTGATGCGCGTCCTCGAGCACGCGGACCTCGGAGGAGTGCGGCGCCGCGTCTGCGGGGACGGCGCAGCCGCGAGCGTCGAGGGCATGGTGCACTGCTGCGCGGCCGAGGAGGCCCAGGTGGGTCGCGATGCGCCGCCTGTGCCCATGGCCGCCATGATCCAGGCGTCCCTCACGGGCGAGCAGGCCGTCCGTGAGGCTTCGGAGGCAGTGGTCCTCCGCGTGGAGAGCATGTACGAACAGGATGGCAGACAGTTCGCGGTGGACGCGCGGGCGGACTGGCGGGACACTGTCTTCCCCGTCAGCATTCTCAACGGAGACGCCGTTTCTTACGAGGTGGCGGCCTTCGCGCAGCACCGCGCCGCGCGCGGCGTACCACCTCTGCAGCGGATGCGCGGCGGCCACTACGTCGCCTACGTCAACAAGGGCGGGCGCTGGTTCGAGCTCGACGATGCCGTCGTGACGGAGCTGCCTGAGCCGCCTGACGCGTATCCGTTCTTGGTCTTCCTGGCCCGCGCGAGGCCCAGACGGTCGATTCCGATGGGCGGGAAGCGGCGCGACCCTCGTGGGCCTGACGACGCTCTGGAGGCTGCTGCCAGGCTGTCGCGAGTGATGCCTGCGGCGTCGGGAGGGGCCGCTGCTGGCTTAGCATCCGGATCGGGCAGCGGCAGCCGCGGCTTGCCACAGGCTGCAGGCTCAGCGGCTGGTCAAGGCCGGACAGGCAGGGACTGGAGTGGCAGAGACCAGTCTGGTAGAGACGAGACGGGAAAGACCAGACTGGTAGGAACCGCAGCGGTCAGCCAAGGGGCATTGCTGGAGTGCACCCAGCTGCCAGGGCCGTCTGGAACGCTTCAGCTGCCGCGGACAACAGAGACCACACCCGGGCAGACCCCGAGAACAGCGCGGACAACCCTTTCAAGCGGTACGTGGATAACTGGGATCTGCGACGCACCAGCGCAGATGTGAAATGCCGCACCTGGTCGCAGAGGGCCGAGCCGTCGGGCCCCCAGCCGTGCCGGCTCTGCCAGGGCCGAGACTTCGCGTTCCGCGAAGATTGGAAGAAGCACGTGGACGACGAGCACGGTGGCGTCCAGCGCTACCGCAACGCTCTCTTCTCGTCGCTGTCGCTGAAGCCCTATGTTGTCAAGGGAGAGGAGTGGCGCGCGATCGTGGCCAATTATGCGGAGTTCTACGCCAGGGCCGCCGTGGACTGGGAGAAGCCGACTGAGCGCATGCGTGAGCTCGCTCAGACTCCCGAGGGGTTGTCTGCAGATGAGCGCTGGGCGCCCCGGACCCGCTGTGCGTGCGTCTTCTGCGCCAGGCTGCACTGGTCCGAGGACCTCTCCTTGGAGTTCCTAGCAGGCAAGGACTGCTTCATGAAGAACCCCGAGGCCGTGGCCAAGCTGTTGTCTTGGGAGGTTTACCACAAGCACTGGCCCGACATCCCCGAGGCCGAGCTCCGCGCCTCCGCCGTGCGTCTGCGCATTGGGAACACGGACGCATTCCAACTTGTCCTCATGCACAAGCGGCGGGTGACGGATGCGCAGGCGTTGGGCGACGAGCGGGCCCCGGTGTGCGAGGATTGCCTGTGCGCGTTCTCTCCCCGCCACCCGCGCATGTGCAAGTTCATCTTCGCTAACCACTTGTGGCTCGGCAGGAATGACCCGCTCTTCCGCAATGCCAACTTGTCGCACCAGATGCTCCTCGCACTCGCCCGCGTCGTGACGACCAAGGTGGTGCTGCGCCCCGAGAGCTACGACGAGCAGCGCAGCGGCGACGGGCCCACGTGGGACTTCCTCTTCCACCAGACGGGCATGGTGGGCTCCGCAATCCTCTTCGGGAACGCGTCGTGCAAGGAGGCCATGGAGCGTTTCCCTCCGGCTTCCATCAAGGACGCCTTCGCGGTGACTTTCCTGGCAGCCAAGCAGGACGCGGCGAAAGAGCAGCCGCCAGACGGCTCGGAGAATGCAGCGGGACAGCGGCGCCGCGAGGGTCTGGCTGGCGACGCCGCCAGGCAGCGGGGCGCCGCCCGGCGCGCCGTCCGGGGCATCGCGCGCCTCAAGGTGAACCGCGCAGAGTTTGACTCGCAGGCGCAAGCGCTGCAGTCCACGAACGTCGTCTACAAAGACAAGGATTACGACGAGGCGCTGGTTGCCCAGTGGTGCCCCAACCCGCTGATTCCTGAGGTGCCCCCGGTGGTGTTGGACAGCGTCGTGGCCGTGCCGTTGGAGGATTCGCCCGGCGCCGTCGTGGCCGCGGGACCAGCCGACGCCACGGCGGCCGGGGCGCAGGATATGGAAGACGCAGACGTTCAGGCGTGCAAGGAATCCCGGTACGTGAGCGCGTTCAGCGAGGAGGACATCCCGGGCGCGGCCGCCTCGGCGGGGGCCTTGGAGGTGACGGCGCTGATCAAGCAGCTGGAGGAGCTGGACGCGACAGCGCAGCGCTCCGTGGCCAAGGAGACAGAGCACGCCATCGAGTCAGGCAGCGCGCTGCTGGACGAGGCGGGCAGGGAGCGAGTCTTGCAGCTCTGCGAGTCCGTTCGAAACCGCGCTGCTCGGTTGTCGCGCCCGGAGCGGGAGCTGCGGCTGCAGGAGGACCTCGCGCGCGCCGCGCTGGGCGAACCGGTCAGGCCTCGACAGGCGGGGGGGGGGCCGAGGCGACCATGGCGAACCTCGAGGTGACGCGCGGCACGGCGCCCCTGTCGCTGTTCGATTGGAAGGTGTGGACGCAGGCGCGCCCGAGCCTGTGGCGCTACGGCGACGCCGGTCACCTGGACCCGAAACGAACGGGGACCTACCCGCAGTTGCTCGCCCACGAGTGGATCACGTGCCTGTGCATGCGGGAGGAGATGGAGTACACTCTGGACACCGACGAGGAGAAGCCGTACCGCGTGCGGGAGAACGACGACGATCCAGAGGTCAACCGGTTCGCGGCGGACTGGGTGTCGTTGCACATGTTCGCCACGTTGCACTTCTTGACGGAGCGCCACCAGTCCGCCTTCGCCTTCCTGAAGAACGGAGGCATGAAGTGGGCCGAGAAAGTGCAGCACCTCACGCCGGATGCCCTGGCGGCGGCCGCCCGCGCTCACGCGGGTGGCGGCGGCGTGGCGGCTTTGGCAAGCAACGCCAACGTGCCCAACGTGGTTCGGGACGCCCTGAACATCATGCAGATGGCCGTCGCGGACGTCGTCGGCACCGACGGACATCGGCGCCTCTGTCGCCACGAGGGGGTTGCCTACATGGCGCTCTTCGGGTGCCCCTTGATCTTCGCCACCCCGAACGTAGCGGACACGAAGCAGCCACTGTTCGTCAGGGTGGAGGGCCAGGAGATCCCGCTCGACGACCGGAGCATTCCAGGCCTGCGCAGCGACGTCATCCCAAAGTACCGAGACATGATGCGGCGCGTCGCCCAGGACCCGGTCGGCCAGACCGTGTGCTTCGAGCTCATCATGCGCCTCTTCTTCATCCACGTCCTCGGCGTCCGCCCCGAGTGCGTGGGCGGCCGCCGGCGCGGTTTCTCCCAGGAAACGCTGCTCCTGGGACTGGTGCACCGACGGCGTGGCGGCGTCCTCGACCGCCCCGGGGATCTTTGGGCCCGTGCAAGCTTTCCGCGGAGAGATCGAGGCGCAAGGTCGGGGATCGCTCCATCCGCACATCCTGGTGTGGTTGTGCGCCCTCTCGACGCGGCAGCTCGTGCACGTGCTCCGACGCCATCCTGCTGCTTTCCGAGAGCGCCTGGGCAAGTGGATGAGGGCGTGCGTCATGGCCGTGGAGAGCACCTGCCAGAGTTCCGTAGAGGTGTTGCCGCGGCGTTTCGGGCACGTCGACCAGCGCGTGGACCCGCTGCCATTCTCTGTCATCGAACGAGACCAGTCGCGCTTCGACGGGGGCAGCGAGCTGGACGCGCTCCGCGAAGAGAAGCAGGCGGGCGCGGAGCTGACCGAGGACCAGGAGACCTTCCTGGAGACCGAGGACCGGGACTCCTGGCTCCGGCCCGATCTGCCGTTGCGGGACGCCACAGGCCGCGAGTTGGCGCCGGGGGAGAAGGCACCGCCGCGGCCGTCCTCATACGGCATGCCCATCGATGCTTTCGCCGTGGGGAAATGCCCCGCGTACCGGCGGCGCGGCCTCGTGCAGCAAGACACCGGCGCGGGCGAGCCGGCGGCCCGCGGGGTTGTCCCAACGGTCTGCTCGGACGCGCCCGCGGCTCAGTCGGGGCAGCAAGGACTCGGCCAGACGACACTCGCCGCGGACGAGGAGGCGCCGCCCCCGCCGCCGCCCCCGCCAGGAACGGAAGAGAATCGTGAGGTCTGGGAGCGCCTCTTCTCGAGGGACGTCCGGGAGCTCGCCAAGGAGACGATGACGCACGTGTGCGGAGAGAGCTGCTACAAGTACTCGGGCAACAAGACCACGAAGATCTGCCGCCACGGCTTCTACTACATCGTCACGCTTGCGGATTGGCGCAGGCGCAGGCGAGGGAAGCCTCTGCGGAACGCCATGTTCGTGGTGCGATCCTCGACGCACGGCATGCAGGGTCGTCTGTTGCACTTCCAGCTCCACCCGTCTGAGTGCATTACCAACTACGCCGGCGCCGCGGCTGGACGCTTCAACCTGGATGCGCAGGACCTCCGACGAGTCAGCGACCCCAAAGCGTGGTTGGACGAGGGCGAGGTGCTCCCGCACGTCGGCTCGCAACCCAAGCTGGGGTGCATGGGCGCGTACGAGCTGGGCGATGCCGACGCTTACGTCAACCGCCCGGAGGTTCCGGAGAAGCCGCTCGCGTGGACGGACGACTGCTCGCCGGAGGAGTGGCGCGACATTATGCTGCAGTGCCAGACGGAGGACGCGGAGGGCGAGGACGCGGATGACGTGGACGCCGCGGACACCTTCGCGGACCAGCTGGAACTGGATGCCCAGGCAGCGTTCAGCGACGGCCTGAACACGGGCTTCTACATCAACTCCTGCACGACGAAGCAGTGCCCCAGCATGGAGGGCGTCCTCGTGGAGATGCGGCGCGGCCTGGAGCGGCTGCAGGCGCAGCGACAGGCGCAGCAGGACAAGATGAAGCTGGAGCTGCAGCAGCGAGGAGACGACCCCGAGAAGACTCTGTCCGCCGCCGACCGGAGAGCGCTCGGGGGTAAGTCCAAGTTCGGGGAGACGCTGGATCTGGTGAAGAATCTGTCCGCATCGTACCGCCGATGCTACTGGAAGAGCGGGCCAGAGATGCTGTTCCCGATCTTCTACGGCCACCTCACCTACGCGTCCCACCGCTGCTGGACGATCTTCATCAAGAAGGGCGTCTTCCTGGCGGTGGAGGCGTGGCGACGCGAGTGCGGGCGCTCTCTCCGGCACAAGGCCAAGCAGGACGGGGGCCGCGCCCCGGTGCAGTACCTCGGGCGCGGCGTCGACCCGTGCACTCTCGAGGGGTGGCGCGAGGAAAAGGACGACGACGGGCAGGCGGTGTACGTGAGCCCGGAAGGCCAGCGCTTCCCGGATATCCTGACGGCCTACGAGCACGACGTCGCGACCAAGGCGGCGCGCGACGCGCCCGATCATCGCCAGGTGGTGTCGTTCCTGGCGAAGTTCATGCAGGACATGGGCTGCGAGAGCGAGGAGGCCCCGAAGACGGGGGACGGCTTCCGCATCGTGAGGACCACGAGCACTCTGGACGACTGGCTGCACCGCGGCGACGACCCGGTCCTCAAGCACATGAGTTTGCAGGTGTACGCCATGTGGGTCTACCGCTGCGAGAAGCCCGACGGCCTGTGGCGAGACAAGACCCGCGCGCAGCACCTGGACTTCGACTTCGCGCCGCACTACGCGCTGTACGCGACCCACAAGCAGCGCCTGGCCCCCGAGCTCCGCGTGCCCCTCTTCGAGGGCTTCACCATGCCGACGATGAACAAAGACTGCGAGACAGCATGCTTGTACAAGCAGTTGCTCCTGAGGCCGTTGGAGGTGGAGAACTCGGAGACGCCGGAGGACGAGCGCATGCTGCGGGCGTTCGCGCCCCTGATGGAGGCCCCCGGCGCGCCCCGTGACATGAATGTGCGCGGGTCAACCTGTTTCACGCGATCTTGGGCGCACTACGAGGCTCAGGCGGACGCGGAGGCCCGCGTCGCCGCGGCCCGCTTCCTCGCGCGGCACGAGTGGCCCTCGATCTGGGAGACACAGGAGGTGCAGGAGGAATTCTTCGCGCTGCACCAGGCGCGAGCGGAGGGTAAGGACGCGGAGGGCGACTCGCTGGACCCCGCCCACTGCCCCGACAGAGAGAAACCCAGGGCGACGGTGCACCAGTACGTCTCCATGATAGCCATGCAGGTGGCGCCCAACCTCGAGGGAATCGCCCTGGCGCGCGAGGAGAAGAAACCCCGGCAGTACCAGAGCGACGCAGCAGTGCAGAGCGCGTACCTCAAGGCGACCACCGGTGGAGGTGCCGGTCAGGACGAGGGCGCCGAGGCGGGCGAGGGCGTGGAGCACCCGGGCGCGCCTCCCAAGCGTGTCGGAGCACACTTCCAGCCGGTCCCGACGTGGGGCATCGACGGGGAGCAGGACATGGCGGACGTGCTGAACTTCGCGCACCGTAAGCGCCTCACGAGGTTGGCCAAGGAGCTCCTCGCGCTCCCGTGCATGTCCGAGGCGGCCCGCGAGGGCGCGGGTGCGCCCGAGCCGACGGAGGCCGCGACTGCTCCCGCGCCCGCGGCCGGGTACCGACCGCTGGTGACCGCGGCGCGCGAGGAGAGACACGCCTGGGGAAACCTGCGCGACGAACGCCTCCAGGACAATCGCGACGAGGAAGATGCAGGCGCTCCGGACGGCGAGGACGCGGGCGCAGGCGGCCTGGGCGGCGACCCCGCTGCGGCCAGTTTTGCCGGCAGCGTGTACTCAACGCCCAGCGCGTACATCGCCGCCCTGGTCGCTGGGTTGCCGGAGAACGAGAGACTCACGCGGGACCAGACGCTCTTCGTCGCCAAGTTCGCCAAGGCCTGCGACGACGCCTGGGAGGACGACGTGCAGAAGAAGCCCTGGAGCGAGAGAAAAGTGACGCACTTGCTCCTGTTGGGCCAGGGCGGCTCGGGGAAGACGCACGTGGTGCAGAAGATCGTCTTCCCAGTGGTGGAGTATTTGTGGCCCTCGTCGGCGCAGGACAAGGGCGCCATGATGGTCGTGGCCTTCTCGAACGCGCAGGCGAAGAACATCTCCACGGAGACGGTGAAGGCCAGAACGCTGCACAACGCCTGTGCCCTGCGAGTCCAGAAGTACATCAACGCGAAGATGAGACCGGGGAGCATGCAGAAGAGATTGCAGTGGTTGTGGGAGCACGTCCGCGTCCTGGTCATCGAGGAGGTGAGCATGGTGGCAGCTGCTCTGTACAACGCTCTGGACCTCCGCGCCTGCCACGGGCGCAGTGACACGCACGACGTGCAGGAGTCCACCTACAAGAGGCCGCACCACCACTTCGGCCGCGTCCCCATCGTGTTGCACCTCGGGGATTTCCTGCAGCTGAAGCCCACCGGCAGCATCGGGCTCCTGACGGACGTGAACGAGCTCCTGGACGACGGGTCGTACAAGTACGCGGAGCCGCCGACGGTGGAGATCCAGCACGCCATCAGGGTATTCTCTCAGATCCCCTGCGTCTTCGAGCTGAAGGGCACGAAGCGCTTCGAGCCGGGGGGCCCTCTGATCGCGTTCTTGGGCTGCATGCGCGAGGGCAAGCGCTTCCCACCAGAGGTCTGGTCTGCCTGGGAGAAGACGTTGGCCTCTGACAACCACGGCTCGGGGAAGACGCACGTGGTGCAGAAGATCGTCTTCCCAGTGGTGGAGTATTTGTGGCCCTCGTCGGCGCAGGACAAGGGCGCCATGATGGTCGTGGCCTTCTCGAACGCGCAGGCGAAGAACATCTCCACGGAGACGGTGAAGGCCAGAACGCTGCACAACGCCTGTGCCCTGCGAGTCCAGAAGTACATCAACGCGAAGATGAGACCGGGGAGCATGCAGAAGAGATTGCAGTGGTTGTGGGAGCACGTCCGCGTCCTGGTCATCGAGGAGGTGAGCATGGTGGCAGCTGCTCTGTACAACGCTCTGGACCTCCGCGCCTGCCACGGGCGCAGTGACACGCACGACGTGCAGGAGTCCACCTACAAGAGGCCGCACCACCACTTCGGCCGCGTCCCCATCGTGTTGCACCTCGGGGATTTCCTGCAGCTGAAGCCCACCGGCAGCATCGGGCTCCTGACGGACGTGAACGAGCTCCTGGACGACGGGTCGTACAAGTACGCGGAGCCGCCGACGGTGGAGATCCAGCACGCCATCAGGGTATTCTCTCAGATCCCCTGCGTCTTCGAGCTGAAGGGCACGAAGCGCTTCGAGCCGGGGGACCCTCTGATCGCGTTCTTGGGCTGCATGCGCGAGGGCAAGCGCTTCCCACCAGAGGTCTGGTCTGCCTGGGAGAAGACGTTGGCCTCTGACAACCACGGCGTCCTGGACCCTCGGCACCAGCACGAGAACTTTCGGCTCGGCTACGGCATGGGCATCTACTGGGAGACGCTGGCGAGGTGGATCAACACGCGCGCTCGTCGCGACGCGCGGCGCCTCGGCGTCCCCCTCGTTTTCCTGCAGGCCGTAGACGAGTGCGGCACGATTCAAGGCGAACCAGACGCAGGCCGGCGCCTCCTGAACGTCCCGAACATGCACAAGACGGGGGACATCCACGGCGTCTTACCGGCACACGTCGGCATGGAGGTCCGGTTCACGGCCGTGCAGGAGGAGCTGAAGAAGAAGTTGGGGCTCGTGCAGGAGCAACGGGCCACCATCGTGTCCTTCGAGTTTCACGCAGACGACGAGCGGGACTACGAGGAGTGCGCGCCGGGCCAGCTCTTCCGCCCCCGCTTCCTACCGCAGGGAATCTGGCTGCATGTGCACGGCTTCCAGGAGTCCCCGATCTACAAGGAGGTCGCCGAGGTGCTGCTGCAGGGCGCCGAGGGCGCTGACGACGACGGCGAGGCCCAGGCGCGGGCGAGGAGCTTGCTCATGTTCAGGCCCAGCGAGCAGGAGTTCACGTGGCAGAGCTCGGGGGCGCACACTGTGCGCCGCTCGGGATTCACGCTGACGCACGCGTCCTACCTGACCTCCACGCTGTCGCAGGGCCAGACGCTGCGCAAGGGCGTCACCGTCGACTGCGCCAGGGATGAGGACGCTGGCCGCACGGGCGTGTCGGACGATATGTGGTGGCTGCACCTCTACGTCATGTTCTCCCGCGCCACGTGCGTGCGGAACATGCTGATCCTGCGGCCGCCCGCGCGAGAGTTCCTGGAGCGCGGGCCGCCGGCGTCACCGCGGAAGGCGCTCCAGGAGTTCGACGAGAGAGCGGTGGACTCCAGGGCTGAAGCGGAGCAGCTCGCGGCAGAGCTGAGCTTCGTGCTGCCGCCCGCCTGAGCGCCGCGGCGCGCGCGAGGAGGCCCGCGGGGTTGTCCCAACGGCCTGGCCCGCGGGGTTGTCCCGACGGCCTGCCCTCGCGCTCCGGCGGCCCGCGGGAGTGCCCCGCAGGCATGGCTGGCCCGAAGGGTTGACCCGACGGCTTCGCGATCTGGCCGTCGGCAAACGCGCGCGTTCTGACCGAGGCGGCGACGGCGCCGAGGAAAATCGACTTGCTTCCCCCGACCGGGGGGAAAGGGACGTGCACGTGGAAAAGAGGCAGGAGGAGGATGAGGACGGAAGGGGTATGGGGAGGGCGATGATGGAGGGAGGAGGAGGAGGAGGAGGAGGAGAAGGAGGGGGGGGGAAATAGAAGAAGAGGAAAAGATGGCAGAGGAGAGGGCGATACGAGGGTGTTTGCCATGGCCGGGAGGAAAGGGATAAGGGAAATCTAAACAGATTATCATGTGGGGTCCTTCCGTCGGAGTAATTTTTCGTGGTAGTAGTCTCCGTACTAGTAGTCGTAGTAGTAGTCGTAGTAGTAGTAGTAGTAGTAGTAGTAGTAGTAGTAGTAGTAGTAGTCGTAGTAGTAGTAGTAGTAGTCGTAGTAGTAGTAGTAGTAGTAGTAGTAGTAGTAGTAATAGTAGTAGTAGTCGTAGTAGTAGTAGTAGTAGTAGTAGTAGTAGTAGTAGGTAGTAGTAGTATCGTAGTAGTAGTAGTAGTAGTAGTAGTATAGTAGTAGTAGTAGTAGTAGTAGTAGTCGTAGTAGTAGTAGTAGTAGTAGTAGTAGTAGTAGTAGTAGTAGTAGTAGTAGTAGTAGTAGTAGTAGTAGTAGTAGTATAGTAGTAGAGTAGTTAGTAGTAGTAGTAGTAGTAGTAGCAGAAGAAGTTCGTAGGGGTAGTAGTAGTAGTTAGTAGTAGTAGTAGTAGTAGTAGTAGTTAGTAGTAGTAGTAAGAATAATAGTATAGTCGTAGTAGTCGTAGTAGTTCGTAGAAGTAGTAGTAGTAGTAGTAGTAGTAGTAGTAGTAGTAGTAGTAGTGGTAGTAGTAGTATTAGTAGTAGTGGTAGTAGTAGCGGAAGTAATAGTAGTAGTAGTAGTAGTAGTAGTAGTAGTAGTAGTAGTAGTAGTAGCAGCAGCAGTAGTCGTAGTAGTAGTAGTAGTAGTAGTAGTAGTAGTAGTACTTGTGTAAGTAGTAGGAGTATTAGCCGTCGTAGTAGCAGTTGTAGTGAGGTGATAGTAGTAGTAGTAGTAGTAGTAGTAGTAGTAGCAGTAGTAGTTGTAGTAGCAGTCGTAGTAGTAGTAGTAGTAGTAGTAGTAGTAGTAGTCGTAGTAGTAGTAGTAGTCGTAGTAGTAGTAGTAGTTAGTAGTATAGTAGTAGTAGTCGTAGTAGTAGTAGTAGTAGTAGTAGCAGTAGTAGTAGTATAGTGTAGTAGTAATAGTAGTAGTAGTAGTAGTAGTAGTAGTAGTAGTAGAGTGGTAGTAGTAGTAGTAGTAGTAATAGTAGTAGTCGTAGTAGTAGTAGTAGTAGTAGTAGTAGTAGTAGTAGTTAGTAGTTGTAGTATTAGTAGTAGTAAGAGTATAGAAGTAGTTAGTAATAGTAGTATCGTAATAGTAGTAGGTAGTCGTAGTAGTAGTAGTAGAAGAAGAAGAATTAAAAGTTAGTAGTACGTAGTCGTCGTAGCCGTGTAGTCGAGTAGTTAGTAGTTCGTCGTCGTCATAGTAGTCGTAGGTCGTAGTAGTAGTCGTAGTAGTTCGTAGTCGTAGTAGTAGTAGTCGTAGTTGTCGTTAGTCGTAGTTAGTCGTTAGTCGTAGTTAGTAGGAGTAGTTTAGTAGTAGTAGTGTACTAGTAGTAGTGGTTGATAGTAGTGTAGAGTATGCGTACAATCGTGGTAGTAGTAGTAGTAGTCGTAGTAGTAGTAGTAGTCAGTAGTTAGTGTAGTGATTAGTAGTAGTAGTGTAGTAGTAGTAGTAGTAGTTAGTCGTAGTTAGTAGTGGTAGAGGATTGTAGTAGTAGTAGTAGTAGTAGTAGTAGTAGTAGTAGTAGTAGTAGTAGTTAGTAGTAGAAGAGGAAGTAGCAGTAGTGTCGTAGTTAGAGTAGTAGTAGTAGTAGTAGTTAGTAGTAGGAGTAGTAGTAGGTAGTAGTGGTAGTGTTATGGTAGTAGTAGTAGTAGTATTAGTAGTAGTAGTAGTAGTAGTAGTAGTAGTAGTAGTAGTCGTCGGATTAGTTGTAGTAGTCGGATTAGTGGTAGTAGTTGTAGTTGTAGTCGTTGTCGTTGTGGTCGTCGTCGTTCTCGGTAGTAGTAGTAGTAATAGTAGCAGTGATACTAGTAGTAGTAATTCTCGTAGTAGTAGTAGTCGTAGTCGTAGTCATAGTCATTGTCGTAGTCGTTGTAGGAGCAGTAGTAGTAGTCGTAGGAGTAATAGTATTAGCAGTAGTAGTAGTAGTAGTGGTACATGCAGCCGCAGTATAGTCGTAGCGATGGTCATTGTCGTCGTTGTAAGGGTAGGCGTGGTCGTAGTCTTAGTCGTAGTAGTAGTAGTAGTAGTAGTAGTAGTAGTAGTAGTAGTAGTCGTATTAGTTGTCGTATCAGCAGTAGTAGCAGTAGTAGCAGTAGTAGTAGTAGTAGTAGCAGTAGTAGTAGTAGTAGTAGTAGTAGTAGTAGTAGTAGTCAGCAGTAGTAGCAGTAGTAGCAGTAGTAGTAGTAGTAGTAGCAGTAGTAGTAGTAGTAGTAGTAGTAGTAGTAGTAGTAGTAGTAGTCGGAGTAGTAGTAGGAGTAGTGGTAGTATTAGTAGTAGTGGTAGTAGTAGTAGTAGTAGTAGTAGTAACAGCAGTAGTAGTAGTTACAGCAGTAGTAGTAGTCGTAGTAGTAGCAGTAGTAGTAGTAGTAGTAGTCGTGATAGAACTTACAGTTGTAGTTGTAGTTGTAGTATTCGCAGTCGTCGTAGTAGTAGTATCCGTAGTAGTATTAGTAGTAGCAGTAGTAGTAGTAGTAGTAGTAGTAGTAGTAGTAGTAGTAGTAGTACTAATAGTAGTAGCAGCAGTAGTAGTTACTAATAGTAGTAGCAGCAGTAGTAGTAGTAGTAGTTGTAGTAGTAGTAGTAGTAGTAGTAGTAGTAGTAGTAGTGGTAGCAGTAGTAGTAGTAGTAGTAGTAGTGGTAGTAGTAGTAGTAGTAGTCGTCGTTCTAGTTCTAGTTGTAATCGTCGTCGTCGTAGTAGTAGTAGTAGTAGTAGTAGTAGTAGTTATCGTAGTGGTAGTAGTAGTAGTAGT